ATAAGACGTAACTAAAGTATTTAACTGCAATTATATATATAATTGTGGGAATCGGTTATTAATGTTTCAACACGGTAGTCTACATCAGCTAACCTTGTATCAGCCTATTCATATAAATATTTTCACTTTTGTGTTATTAATGCAAAATGTGTATTTTACAAGCAATAATAATCAATTCATTTTAATATAGAGATTTTTTTTCATACATGTTTGACGTTTAGGAGTATGTTGACTGTTGAGTACGGCTATTCTACTCAGGTTGCCGGTAGGACAAACGGATACGAGTTTTGGATTTAAAACGGTGTTTTGATGAATTACAAATTATTAATTGGTATTGTTATTATGGACGAGAATTGAAAAAAAATAAAACTATTCCGTCATGTAAAAATTGTAATATATACATTTTTAACGAGGTTATTGCGTAACAAAGTTGTGGGATATAACTACCTCATAGAAAATTTGTTTTATACTTTTATAGATATATTAGATAATTTTTCACTACCTATTAGATAACATGAGGGGGAGATAAAATTCTCACCACATTTGTATTGATTTAGAATATCACAATTTTAGCACTTTATATGTTGTTTAGTTTTAATAAAATATTGTACGGACAAAGCTGCAATATATAATTATTAATTAAATCCAGCGTTTGTGTATTTATTGGCTATAAATAGTATAGGTACTACCTACTATTTAATCATTTTCAKATTCTGATTCTAGCAAATTGTTTTTGTTTCTTGTTCGTTTGTCATCAACATTTGTGTTAGTAAAAATGCTCTGATTTTCGACAAAACATCTTTTCTGATAAAACAAGTGAATCTAATTTATTATTGATTTTATTCATTGGTGCACTCAAAACTAATAACCGTATAGCCGCTTAAATTTTTCATCAAATTTTATTTTATTATTTTCCATACCTGGTCAAACTATATTGACTCTAAGACTTTTGAGCCATTTATAGCCATGATAACATTTTATAATTTGGTGAATTATTTTTCTGTTGTTATGAACATTTGAATTTTAAATATTCACGATATTTGATATTCAGTGATAAATTAACAAATTTAAATTAATCGATTTTAGGTTTCTTGTTGTAATTCAAAAATGAATAACTATGTAGTTATGCTTAAATTGTCCACCAGATATTCACAATAAGCTTTTATAAAGATAAAGAGGATGTCACACCTGCATGTGGTTGTACAAGTGCGTAACATACCAAATTTTAAGCTTAGCTCCGTTAGTTTAAAATTTAGTGTGAATTGATTTCTTATAAAGATTAAAGGTAACATTATTATTTAGGATAGCACTTGGGCTTTTATTATATTTTAATTTTAAAGCGAGTTATGGGTACCTATTTTACTATTGTAAATTGTCTGTATATCTTAAAATAGTCAAAATAGTTATACAGTAAAACTCGCTTAAGACGTTCTAGAAAGAGCGTCTTATGCGGGAATGAAAAAAAAATGAATTGATTTAAATATTGAGTTTATTTTTTTATTACCTATTAAGCATAATTTAATGGGAAATACACTTATAAATGAAYTATAATCATAAATTTATATTTTTTGCTACTGAATTTAATTTTAAAAATATTATTATTACATATTTTATTATTGTTTATTAAAAAAATTAAGTTTAAAAAAACAATCCGAATTCATCAACGTTGTGTACATCACAGATTCAGCCTTGCCTGAAATTTTCCGGTAAACAATGCCATGTCTGGCATGCCTACTCCGAAATCTATTTAGCCAACCAGTCGATCCACTAAATTCGGTTAAGTTGAGACGTGCGGCAATATCCATATAGCCTCTTAAGCGAGTTTTACTGTATATAGTTTTAGAAATATAACTTGTCTCAATATTTAGACTCTAATCTATCTATACTCGCCAGCAATGTGTATGCACTATTTAACGCGTGAAAATTCAGATGGTAGAGACTAATTTTCTCCATAGATATTATTTATGTATGTATTTGTTTTATTTTTGGTATATTTTTTAAATATGTAATATATATATATTGAGAATTATTTATATCTTGATAATTTATAATCACTACAACAGATCCCTAATACCTATGTAATTTAAAATGTATCAAATATTAATTACCTATATCTTAGTTTATGTTCATTTTTTGTTTGGTGGGTTCAAGTACTTATTTTTCTAAGCAAATTGAAGGATTTGATTTCCACCGTCAAAATTGATTCCAAATTACGCTACTGACTATAATATTAGTATATGTAGATTTATGTGCTCTCTATATACTTTAATAACTGTCTTCTAGTATATGTAACACCGTATTATTATGAGTGAATTATCTCAAAAATATTTATTCTGTTTTTAATTTTTACCGATAAAAAAAGTTTTTAATTTAACTCCTAAGTTCTTATGTTTTATTTAAAATTTAAAATATTTAAATCTTCAAGACAAGCCAATAATTTCACACGTCCTATTCTATTCAGTATAGGTACAATATGTACATAATATATTAGTTATTACATCATAGAATATAACAATTGGAACTATACATA